CACCAGTGAGCGTGTGCATGTGTGTGTGTGTGTGTGTGTGTGTGTGTGTGTGTGTGTGTGTGTGTGTGTGTGCTGGAGCGCATGTGTGCACATGCACACAAACACACACACTGTGGTATACACATGTCTGTTCATATGCACATACATCACACACATACATGAAGATTGGAAGAAAATAAATACCCACTGAGCTAGCTAGTTTCTGTCCCAATCAGAAATAAGTTTGACACAATCTAGAGTCACCTGGTGTCTTAGTCAGGGTTACTATTGCTGTGATGAAACACCATGTCCAAAGCAGCTTGTGGAAGAAAGGGTTAATTTGGCTTGCACTTCCACATCCCTGTTCATCACTGAAGGAAGTCAGGACAGGAACTCAAACAGGGCAGGAAGCTGAAGGCAGAAGCTGAAGCAGAGGCCACGGAGGAGTGCTGCTTCTGTTCCTGTTTCCAAGATCTTTCTCTGAGTTCACACCTTGGCAGCTCTCCATGATAAACTGTAACCTATAAGCCAAATGAACTCTTTCCTCGCTAACTTAGTTTTTGTTGGTGTTTGATCACAGTAACAGAAAAACACAGTGAATAAATGAATGAATGAATGAATGAATGAATGAATGAATGAATGAATGAATGCACGAGTAAGCCAGTCTCGCTGCCGAAGGTCCCGATTCACCGGAGGCCACTGGAAGCAGTGACCGTCTGCAGCACTAACTGTAGGGGACATTCATCCTACGTCCTCACTGTAGTATGCACCGATGACGGTGACCATGTGTTAGGGGTGAAGTGAATATGATGGTCATCTTCATTGCTACCTTGACTAGATTTACAGTTCCATGGAAACAAACCTCTGAGTGTATCAATAAGGATGTTCCCCAAAGAGTTTATGAAAAGAGCTAGTGTCAAATGACTGTATTGATCCCAAACACTGTCTTTCTTTCATCTCTGCCTTTGAGTTTACAGGCAGCACAGTTGTCAGTGGGAAGCTAACTGCATGCCTGCCTTACCTCATGTGAGCCGACTCCACCACAGGAAAACTTACAGCACTCAGAAAAGAGGTGTGGGTGATGACCAAAAGCCAATGGCTGTATTCTAAGTGGCAAGAACAAAACAGATTACATGGAAGTCCTCAAGCAGCCCATAGGCCAATGATCCCCACATTACACACCTTAGTTTAATTAGGGTAAGACAACCAGCATCATCCAGCGCAGAAAACCCCTCTTAATGAGTGATTGTGCAAAGTTAATGATGCTGACAGGTAGCTAAACATCTCCGTTTGTTTTTCCCAGGGGTAGGCAGGTGCAGATGCTGAATTAGGTCAAGGGCCCACGATGGCAGGGACAGGGAGCGTCAGGTCCACCGTCAATGCCGTTGGCTAAGCCTTTCAAAAACTGCCCCCATCCTTGAGCCCTCCGGGGCTGCTTTCTCTGCTCGTCCCAGTCCTCTGATGCTCAGGTGACTGTGACAATCCTGTGCCTAGTGTGTCTTGAAGTGCCCAACTGCCAGGAGAGGAATTCAAAAATCGTACGGTGGAAAAGTAGGTGGTTTCCAACCCCACTACCCGGTGACATACAGTGTAGCTTCCATCGTGAAGAGACCTGAGTAGAGGATTAAACAGGGATCCCTGCCTGGGTTTCAGCAGCATAGAGTGGAGAGCACAGCCCTTCACAGTCTCAGCTCACAGATGCAATGGGACTTCGGACACCCAGATACGCAGGCTGTGTCCCAGACTCATACCATCTACCTCCTTCCTTAATGTCCCCCAGCACTGAAAGTTCCTCCTAGGCCGTGTCTTGTATCTGGAAACCACCACGGTGCTGTCTAGGAGGCAGGGGTGGGGAGGGACATAGAGGTACCCTGAGGGAGCAGCACACAGGGAATGCAGAGAAAGCGGCGTGCTTACTCCCCACCCTCTCCAAAGTGTTACTGGGGAACGGTTATTGCCCCCTATAACACCCTGCTGAACCTGGGTCTGAGCAGAGGCAGCAGTCAACACACCCTGAGCCTTCAAAAGATGATAAAAAGCATCAAGATATGACAACATTTTCTGTTCATTTCATGGTTAGTCTACAGTTCAGTTTATGTAAGATAGAAATAAGTGACTTGATTTAAATAAAACATAAACAACCTGATAGCTCATGTGTTTGGAAGAGATCAAGAGCTTGAAGGAATCTGTCCAGGGCCAAAGCCTTTGGCTTCCAGCTGGGCATCATTTGGTGGTCAGAGGAGAGCTGGGTGAGCACAGAAGGGCAGGGATGAGAGAGCCCATCAGACCCCTCATTCCCGTCGGTCTTGGCTCTGCTTCGGTACATATTGATGCTAAGGAGCTATTTCAACTCATCCAGACAGAGCTGCTGAGGTGCTGAGCTGGGCACAAAGAGGAGGCCGGTTGTAGCTTTCAAGCCCCCAGTGTCTGCCTGAAACACAGGGTCTTCAACCCGGATATATGGAGAACTGGGGGCAAATGTCCCCAGGAAGCTGGTTGACTCTGTGCCCTCCCTTGGGGAGTCCAGACAGCAACAGAAAGCCAGGTTGGAGTTACGCTCTAGAGTCCTGACAGCCCTGGCTTGGTGACCTTGCATTTGGGCAGCCAGATTGGTTTCTCCTTTGCTTTCTATTCTTCTTGTTGTTCATTTGCTTTTCTCTTGTTTTGTTTGAGACGGAGTCTTAGGAATACAGGGCTGACTTGAACTCACTATGTAGCTGAGAACGATCTAGAACTTCTCACCCTCCTGCCTCTACCTCCCAAGGCCCAGGATCACAGGGGTATGCTACCATGCCCATCGTATGGGTTGCTGGGCCCAAACTCAAGGCTTCCCATATCCTAGGCATGGACTCTGCTGACTGAGTTACATCCTGATCCCACATTTTATTTCCATGTCTGAAGCATGGCAGGAAACAGCGAGCCTGCTCAGCTTGCGCCACCATGGGAGGAAGGAACGCTTCAGAGTCTGATAGGGGCTACTCTGACTGGGAGACAGCTTTCACAGCAGGAGCTTTCCTCTCGGTGGGCATCAGCTTCAAGAGCTGGACCACCACGGGGCCAGAAGACAGCTCCCTGACTAGACTGTGTCCCTCCAACATAAACGAAGCCAACAGCGCCAGCTCCTCAGAGTCCCACTTGGGTCTCCAGTCACCAAGTCCCGCCTCTGCTTCCTCTCCCATTGTGTGTTTAGCACGGCACATGCTGTCATCACCTGCCTTTGAAGCCGATTCAACCATTAGCAGCTTCTTCATGTTTCTATAAATATTTAAACCGCCAGCACTCAGTAATCACCACCGTATGAAATTAGGACGGATCAGAGGGTGCTGGCTCACCAGAGTCCTTAAGGGGGGAGCTAATCCTTTCTCAAGGAAGCCTTCCTTCCCGGTGCTAAGAGAGGAAACACGAGGGAGCCAACGACTTGAAGGCGTGGAGGAGTTTTAATTCAGCACTGTCTCAGCCAGATAAATCATCCCAGCACTGTGACTTCAGGAACAGCCCACATCCCCTCTGCAGCGGAGGACTTCCAGCCACCTGGGGAGTACATCTGTGGGAATGCCATTTCTCTAGGGCTCCCTCCCCTTCCTCAGCACCCACACTTCCAGAGCCTTGGGAAGAAGGGACATCCCAGTGACCACACTGACCGTTTCTCCTCAGGCTTGGACAGCTCATGAAGCTTTCTCAGGGGGAGTGGTAGGGTTTTTAGGTTTGGTTTGTTTGAAATCACAGTGACCTCTTCCTGGATGATCAGAGGGAGGCTTTAGCTAAGGAAAAGTAGAGGCACAGCTTCTCACTGCAAAACCCAGCCTGGGGCCAGGGAGATGCCTCAGTTTCTAAGCTGTTAGCTAGTCCTGTAAACCTGAGTTTGAATCCCAAAGCCCGTGTTTAAATAAAATAAAACTGTGACATGTGGCTTGAACTTGTAATCTCAGAGCTGGGAGGTAGAGACAGGTGGATCTCTGGGGCTCCTTGACTAATCAGCTTAACTAAATAGGCAAGTTCCAGGTCAGTGGTCAGTGAGAGATCCTGCCTCAAAAACCAAGGTGAGCAGCATTCTGAGGAACACCTCCCAAAGCTGACCTCTAGCCTCTGACCTCTAATCTCTGTGCATGCATATATATGCCTGTGAAACATACACACAAATCCAGTCTAGATCCTAGGCCCAGCACAGCCAGCAGTCCTATGGACCAGTGTCTCCTGGACTCTGGCTCACAGCAGATATCACCTTCAGACCCCAGTGTTGCATCCCGGGCATGAAGGGTTAAGCCTTCTTCTTTCCCAGCACCTGTCCAGGTAGTTCATGACCTGGGTCTCGGGGTTTCTGGTGAGGTCAGGGTGGTTAAGCCTTCTTCTTTCCCAGCACCTGTCTGTGAAGTGTGTGACCTGGGTCTCAGGGTTTCTGGTGAGGTCAGGGTGGACCTGCATCTTAGTTGCGTAAGTTGCTTCTCTTGTTGCTGTGAGAACATACCTGGCCTTAACTGAAGGGAGGAAGGACTTATTTGGGCTCATAGTTTGGCAATATCACCCATCATGGTGGCAAGAGCTGATGCAATGACAACACAGCATTTTCAGTCAGGAAGCAGAGAGGGATGCAGGTCAGGGCTCAGTTCACTCAACCCTTTTATCCAGTCCAGGACTGAATACAGCACTCCCTGCATTTGAGGTAGGACCTCCCTCCTCAGTTACACCTCTCTGAAATGCCCTTCTAGACCAGCTCAGGGTACCAGACTACTAGGATCAGGGCCTCACCTATAGATGGGGCACAGGCTCATCCATATCGCTAGAAGTCATGTCCTTCTGGGGTGGAGGGAAGGAAGGTGTGTGACATTGTGGGCTGGGTAGCATCTGAGTGTGGCCTGGAAGTCAGGAGGCCTGAAACCACCCCCAGGTGATCCCAAATGTACAGCCAGGGTGTCTGACCCCAAACCTGATCCTTTGTATACCTTGTCATGTGATCTCTGGTTCTCCCGAGGCTGTAGAAGAATAATAGCATTGATTGACAGCTGAAGATTTCTCTGTTCCAGATAGGAAATGAAGAGCTTTGATACCCAACAATACTGATCTTTCCAACAGCGATGAAGGGATGGATCCTTTGCCTATTTTCAAGATGAGGTGATGGAGGTTGGGGAGCCCAGTGATGGGAGCCTGGGGCTAGCTAAACCTCTGAGCTGACATCTTGATCACAACCATGGTCCTGCCATGACAGTATTTAAGGAAGATGGATTCGCTCCTCGCCCTTTGGCTAAAGAGAAAGAAGAGGATGGTGTTTACCTGGGAGACGATCTGTCAACTTCCTACCCACTTCCAAGGAGACACAGAGACATTTGGCGTGATGGGGCCTTCTGGAGCACTCACACAGTCTTCATATCTTTCCTGGTCCCCTCTTACCCAGACTGCCTGATGCCATGCCAGGGGTTAATGCCTGGGGACAGATCGCTTCAGTACCCCCTTTTCGGCAGCCACCACCCTCAGAAATAGAGTTCTGATAGCCACACAGCATTGCTGCCAGGAAAAGGAGGCCCTTCACCTGTGAGTTAAAGACAAAGTGACACCCTCCCTCCCCTGGCTACTGGGGTTGGCTGCGCTCTGGGACTGTGCAGCCTTTGTGAGCACCACACCTCTCAGTGAAACACGAAGTCAGGCTCTAGTAAACACACCGCTGACTGAGTACACAGGGAGTTTCCAGTTCATTTCTCCGCATTATTCTGGGTCTGTGGATAAACAGAAAAACAATAATTGCTGTTGGTAGTGTTTTAATTGGTATCCACTGTGTTTTAATTAGTCAAAGAAAGAGGGAGAGACAGGTGGGAGGAACACTGGCTGCCACCTCACCCAGAGTGTGCACTCACTGGGTGTGGGCAGCAGCACAGGCATTCTTCAGTGAGTATCCACATGGACAACTCCTCCCCAGTCAGCATCGTCCCATGAATCTGAGCCCGGTCTGCATGCTCCTTCTAGGGGAAGAACACTTGCTAATTAGATGAGCACCGAGTCATCACTGCTTAGCACTGTCCAACAGTCCCAGAAAAGGTGATTCTCAGAGTTAGACGAGGGCCAGCTATAGATGAGGAGACACATTGGCTTTCCAGAAGGAAGAAAGTAGCTCAGATCCCAGTTCAGCCTCTGGGCAGGAGTGAGATCTAGAATAAACCAAGCCCTTGGCTGTTGGTCTATGCTCTGTGGCTGTATCAAAATGTCAGAGGCCAGGTCATTTTAAAAGAAGAAAGGTTCGTGGAACTCCTGGGACTGCTGGCTGGAAAGTCAACAAGAAAGGTCTGCCTTCCTCCTGGCATCTAGCTGGGGCCTCCTTGCAACATCATATCTTGTCAGTGGAGCCAGTGACCTCTTTTATAACAAGGGCTCCCGCGGTGACTCATTAGTCCACTTGTAGAGTAACGCAGCCATAAGGGCAGAGTCCTCGCAGCCCAGTCACCCCCAAACATCGTTAACACTTGACTTCAGGGACTGAGTTCCCAACCCATGAATGTTGGGAGAAACAAGACAGATCGTGCTGAGGGATATTCTACCGGAGACAATTAGACCGGATTCACAAATGCTAGAAGTGGCTGAGCCAGAGTCTGTGGCTGAGCCAGAGTCTGTGTCGTCCACTCACTCACAGGTCAGTCTTGCAGACTGCAGGCCACGCACCCCCTCCCCTATGTCAACGGCAGAATGAAAACAGGACTGAGGTCCTGCTCTGTAGGGTGGTGAGGGAGTACTGTGGGGCAGAGTCCCCTGGATCTGGGCTCTGCCCCTGAACTGATCGACGCACCGCCTCCCCACCCTCTCCTGATCTTCAGCAATGAGACCGAAGATTTCCAGCTCTCCTTTTCTGTCATCAGCAACATTGACCACACCCCAAAGCAAGACAAGAGAGTGCCTCTTCTGGGGTGAATCTCTTTATACCCCACTTCTCAAACTCCCCAAGCATCCTTTACTTTGCAGTACACAGGGGTATAGCTTTGCCCTCTCCTTCTTCATCCTAGCAGACTAAAGATGATGAAGACTTCTTTTCAAATTTATGCACTACTAGGAGAAGAGCGCTGGTCTTGGGACACTGGGGACTGCCTGGCCTGCCTCCAACAAGCTGGATGAACTGGGACCCACAAATCTACCAATCCACTCCCAGCTTGCATGGCTGATTTGGAGAAAGTACCCTCCATCCAGCTGACCCCTGGTCATCACTAGCTTACAGAATACTGTTTATCAAGTCATCTTCCTGGGGTGTGCATCCCACTTGGAGTTAAGTGGGCCATCGGGATATTTTTTATTTGTCCCTGTCTCTCTTACCAGATCATTGTTCCTAGGATGCAGGGTCTGCCCACACATCCCACCACCACTTAGATCTGCTTTAGGCACTTGCTATACGCAGAGTAAGTACTGCTGAGGAGACCAACAGTTATATAATTAACAGGGGAGGGGGGATATTAGCACACCAAGTCAAATCTAGAAAACCCGATAATGAATCTATCCCAGGGATTTCAAAACACAGGACAGAAATGATGTCTTCCCGATGTCTTCCAGACGGAGGGAGCGTTCTCTGGGAGCTCTCAGTGTTCTCCAATGGCCTTTCTGATGGGCAACAAAACATTTGATTTTCTTTAATAGATTTGTCATTTTACGTCAAGTATCCACTCCTATTGACCCATGGAACCTCAATTTCAAAACCATTAAAATCTAATTTTCCACACTGTGCCCCTAAGAGATAGGCTAACTTTCAAAGAATAATTCATTTTCTTTAAGAAAAAAATGCATATCTCTCTATATTTTCTTTTTTATTCTTTAAAATAAGTCAAGAAACACAGCTGCTAGCATGGCTGCCGTTGTTCCCCTGGTCTCTCTCAGCTAAGGAACTTAAATGTCCCCGACAGAGGAAGCGGCCTTCACTGTACAGCGCAGGCTGTACTTATGTGGGGGAGCCACAATTACAGGGAGATTATAAAGGACCCATTCCACTCAGAAAGCAGGATGGTAAGCTCAAGGTTATTTGCTTTCAAAAATAATAGATGTGTCAAAGACAACGCAGGACATTTCAGGGAGTCTAACACCACCTCTACAGTGTATTTACTTTCTCAAGTGTTAAACTAACCCTTCCATTTGAAATTCCGAGAGCAGAACACCTAATGAGAGATGCCCAGGCAAGTGTCTGTGGCCCACTTACAGAATCCTCAGCCAACTAATGGGAACCACGTGGGTACCACAGCCTGGGGCCGGCTGAACCTGCATCTTCATGAGCCTGTGCTTCTGTGAGGGGACAGGAAGGAAGCTACATGAACATTCACGCACACAAGTCAGAACCCAGAGGTCAGCCTTGAGCGTCAGTCCTTAGATATTGTCCATCTTGTTGTGGAGACAGGGTCTTCTGTTGGCCTGGAGCTCATTGAGTAGGTTAGGTTGGCTGGCAAGAGAGCCAGGGACCAGTGCTGAGATGACGTCACAAGCCCACTTCAGAATGCTTGGTGAAGACGCTAAGGATTGAACTCAGGTCCTCCTGTTTGTGTGATGAGCATCTTTACCAACCATTTGCTCCATTTTTTAATTTCCTGGTTCAGGTGATGGTGTTGTGGTTTGATAAGATAGAAGGAGTCTGTGTGCTGGTGAATGGCCACAAGATGCTCTCCATGGTCTTTACAAAGTATTTTAAAGCAAACATTTAAACAAACAGAATGCATCTTCCAGATACGCAGGCAATTGGAAGGCCTGCCAGTCATGAGCACATTACATAGACCCGCACAGGGCGGAGGCACCAGGGGCCACTTCATCTAAAGAGATTTTGGCACGACATCCTCAAGCACTGGGGCAGAAAACTGCCTCCTCTGATGCTCCCATCTGCCTGGTGCTTGCTGCTGGTGCCTGGCCAGCTTATGACAGAGTGGTTGGCATGTGACGGCTGCTCAACTGTCTTTTGATTGGCTCCTGCAGGTTGAATGGTATCCAATGGCACACTGCATCTGCGATCCCTAGAATCAAAATGCAGAAGGGTAAGTCTGACCTGGGTGCTCAGGGTGGTCCGGTCCAGAGCACCCATGTTCCAAGGGAGGATCTGAGGAGTTCAGACTTGACGTCCAATGGAAAGGTGACAAAGCAGCCGAGGCTCAAGAGCTGTTGGAACAGAGCACTTTGTGTGTCCATGCATATGTGTGTGTGTGTGTATGTGCTTGTGTGTGTGTGTTTGTGTGTGTGCGCTTGTGTGTGTGCGCTTGTGTGTGTGTGCTTGTGTGCATGTGTGTGTATACACATGCATGTGTGCATGTGTGCGTGTGTGTATGTGTGTGTGCACGCGTGTGTGTGCTTGTGTGCATGTGTGTGCACGTGCATGTGTGAGTGAGTGCATGTGTGTGTGTGTGCATGTGTGTGTGTGTGTCCACATGCACATGTGTGCATAGGTACACACATGAGTAGAGGCCAGAGGACAACCTCAGGTGACATTCCTCAAATGCGGTCCACCTTGCTTTATTGAGACAGGGTCATTTATAATCTTGGACCCTGCCTTGTAGCTAGGCTGGCTGGCCATGGAGCCCCAGGAATTCACCCACCTCCATTTCCCCAGTACTAGGATTATAAGCCCAGCCCATAATAGCTAGCTTTTTCTTTACAAACATGGATTTTCAGGAGATGAGACTCATCATGCTTGCAAGGCAAGCCCTGTATTGACTGGGCCGTCTTCACTGGCTTAAGGCTGTTATTTTCAAAGGGCACATTTCACAAAATCTTCATCCCTCTAGGTAGTTTAAAACAGAATCACGCTCCAAAGAGCCATGCATGGCTACAGAGTGACCGTGAACTCTCTCATCCCCTGAGACATGAGGTTTTTCTCTGGCTCTTCTGTTCTTTGTGAAATCAAGCACTCTGATCTGTCTGAGTTCTGCAGCTCCACACTGAAAGTCCCTTCTGAGGCCTCAGTGGCTCGTGCAGGAACAGCCAGGAAGGGGCTCAGCCAGAGGCTGCAGGGTGAAGGAGGCTGCAGATAAGGACCTGTCAGCCCTGGCCCCCTGTACCCTGCTGTGGGATGTTCTCTATGCTATGAATGTGTTGCTCTGATTTGTTGATAAATAAAATGCTGATTGGCCAGTAGCCAGGCAGGAAGTATAGGCGAGATAAACAGAGAAGGAGAATTCTGGGAAGTGGAAGGCTGAGTCAGTAGATGCCAGGCCACCATCCAGGGAGCAGCATGTAACAGTACACAGGTAAAGCCATGGAACACGTGGCAACATGTAGATTAACAGAAATGCACTGAGTTTAAATGTAAGAGCTAGTCAGTGGTAGGCCTGAGCTAATGGCCATGCAGTTATAATTAATATAAGCTTCTGAGTGATTATTTTATGAGCAGCTGCAGGGTCCATGGGGCTGAGCAGGACTGGAGAAAACTTCAACTACAGTCCCAGGGTAGGGCAGCCTGTTAGTTGGCTCCTTTTGATACCTGTCTCTGTGATAGAAAAAAACATGATTATACGTGGAGACTGCAGGGAAAGAGAGAGACAGTGTGTTTCATGTGTCCCCCCAAGTTCAAGGATCATGTCATCCCAGAGATCTGGCTCAGGCCACCAGACAAGGGATCCTACAAACCCAAGGTCTTGTGCACAGCCAGCAGCAGGCAGGGGTCCTGGGAGAAGAAAGTCAACCCTAGAATCAGCCAGGAGCCTGGAGTGGCTGCACCAAAGACACCAGCAGAGGAAGGGCTGAGTGGCAAAGGAACCCAGAGA